AGAAGCACTCCTAGTTCAGGCACTTAAGCCCCTGAGTTCGAGTTGATAGGTCCTTTAAAGACTCAAGTCTGTCTTTATGGTTTTTTTATTAAAAAACTACTTCCCTTTGACTGGTCATCAGTCAAAAATTTCAACAGATTTTATCAGGCCTGACTGCACAGCATAGTACTGCTTTGAGGGAATATTTCTGTACATACGTAGGGGGCTGGGTTTGCAACCCACATAAATTAGGTCTGCAACCCCCAAAAGTCACAACCTGTTGGACAGATGCTGTCAGAGTGGCCAGAAGATATTGAGCTGCAGGAAGCCAGCTATGGACATAGTTTGAGGGTCTCCAGCTGATAAGGAAGGAGTCACCGCCCCAATTACAACCCAATTTCAAAATAATTATAAATTCAGCTTTTCCCCCAAGATATAAGCTTTTTGGGGGAACATCAGGCTTAGAATCACCCAATAACATGATTATGACAATTTTTCACAAAATTTCCTATTAGGGGGTATCAAATGTGACCAAATTCACCATTATGTACTTGATGGGTTTTCAAAAATCCACACTTTTTAAAACACATTTTTTCTTCACAAGTAACATCTTAGGACCCATTAATGAATAAATGAATTTTTCAATAATTGACTGGCTTCAAATTGTTGATCTGTTATATTCAATATGCCCTATTATAAAATTGTTAAATAAGAAAACTTTACAAATACCCATTTTTCTGTCTTTTCTTTTTTGATTATGCTGACCACACTCAAATAACAAAATAAAATTATGTATGAACATGAAATTAAAATTGGACATTATGAGGACATAAAATATTCAATGAAAGACTTGAGGAAACATCTTGGGGAGTAAAATACTCACGAAAATTGAGTAAAACACTGCAAAAAAAAAAAGAAATTGCACAACTGCCTGAAGTTTCCATGCAGCAAGGTCCAGCCAAGCTGCCATCCAAACTCCACCTTTTTTCAAAGTAGTTTTTTTGCACAGTCACTGTGAAGTCTACACAGTGACTGTGCATCAAAGCTTAGTTGAATCAATTTTGGAGAGTGGTTGAAGTAACAACAGAAGCTTCCTCAGAATTTCTGCATGTCAACTGCAGGCAGTTGAGCAAGTTTTTTTTGCAGTGAAATATTTGAGAAAATTTAATCAATCAAGTAAGAATATGGAGGAAAGGGAAAGGAATCCCTAAAATAATTAATCTAGTAGAAATTTAAGAAGAAAGCACAAAAAAAACAATCAATCAAAATAATTAATCTAGTAGAAAGTTAAGAAGAAAGCACAAAAAAAACAATCAATCAAAACAACTTTTATTCCTAGCAGCTAGCATATTTTTCCTCCCACTTTAAAGCTTCTGGAGAGGGAAATTGCCTCCAACTCTTTGAAAAAATGGGGGAAGGAGAAAAAAGAATTTGAGCTTTAAAAATTCAATGTGGGAGTTGCTGTAAGCAAGGAAAATGGGGGGATAGTTATTGTTTGGAGGGCAGAAATGAGGAAGGAACACCAGGACCAATCAATTAGCACCTGATGACAGGTGACATGAGGCTACTGCATTGATTCAATTCAGTAGCCTGATTTCACTTGTCATCTGGTTATCATTGATTGGTCCTGGTGGAATGTTTGGGATGAAGCAGAAAAGAAAAAAAAGAGGGGGGATTGAACAGAATTAGACAGAGGTTAACCCATGGAGGGAATTTACATCCAAAATCTTCTACCACATTATTTGCTTGAATTGATATAAGTGCTTTGTTTCAATTTGGTTGAGTTTTGTTGACCCATGATTTGCTTGTTGACATACCATTTTCCTCAGGTGTTCAATTTGTTGAGGAGTTTTTGACAGACTTCCACAAAGCCATCTTGACCTTTCCCAAGTCTCAGGTGGTCAGAAACCGCTCTAAATACACTGTTTTTCTGATTAAAGGTCCAAAACCTTCTGAACATGGTCCTGGATGTAGGAGGAGAGGTTTTTGATCAATCTGGAAATTTCTGGGAGGGTTCAAGGAGGATTGGAGGACCGCTTTGATAGGGCTGAAAGTTTTTGGAGTGGGATTAGATGATGATACTGATTCTGGAAGATCTCCTGTGACCTTTCTGATTGGTTGAATTCACTTGGGTTTTCCTGGCTCTTTCTCATGTTATTCATATTTCATCTACCAAAAATGATTTTGCATCTACCATAAGGGATATTGCATCTGCTTAAACAATTTAGTATCAACACATC